AAGTTTCAAAAATCCAATAGATTTCGTTCCACTTCACAATTGTGTCCCACTTGTTGGTGATTCTTCACATAAAATAAAAAAAATATATCTTTATGTTTGAAGCCTGAAATGTGGCAAAAGGTTGAAAAGTTCAAGGGGGCCGAATACTTTCGCAAGGCACTGTAAGTGTAAGCAAGTATTATTATTATTAATCTGATGGTAGCTGCAGAAAGCCATGGTAACATCATGGGATCATGACATTCTGTTACCTGCATTTCCTGCAGCTGCTGAGCTTACAGGTGTCCATCTCAGACAAGCTCTGCATGGTTTCCAGCACTGTTCTGGGAAGTGTCCAGTTTGGTCACATTCAAGACCAGGACTATACTAGAGAGCCTGATGTCCTCTCATTCACTGCTCATATCTAACTCTAACTTGTGTCTTACTGCTGTGGTTTCTAATTTGTGTCTGAAATATTTGTATTGGATGTTTTTTTAAGGGATTGTATCCTACACACCAAATCCCACTGAAGCCTTTGTCTCTTTTTTGTACGTATGCACAAACCTAACCAAAAAAGAGCAGCCCTTATTGGTGTCATGAGGCATATCATCAAGTTGTAAATAATGAAAGCAGAACTGTGTTTCTTTTGAAACACAGAGCATGCCATCTAACGTTCCTTGAGTGCAAGCATTATGAAACACGTCTTTACACTTCCTTCTGCAATTGCAGGAAAGAGGTCAGGGATCTTGGAATGACACTGGTCATAGATGCCAGGAAGAAGACCCCTCCTCCAGCCTTGATTCAAGCTTTGATGATGGTCCAGGTATGCAGATCTGAATGCAAGACTAACCTGTACTACTACCTCTGACCACAAGGGGGCACATAAGAACATAGAGAGTCTCTTCTACCTCAGCTTCAAAACAAATGCGTAATCTGTCTCTCTGTCTTAAATAATATGGTATTAAATGTGCAGCAATGTATATATGCTGTGGACTGCTCTGCTCATAACATGTTGAACAGTTTAAAATATGTAATAATTGGAAGACCTAATCAGTTAAGCTCTTTTCTAGAGTATGGGCTACCTGTTTCAAGGTTGTGTGCATTCGCATTGTGTAGATACAGTAAGCGGAAGAAACACATTTGCCATTAAGCTGAGTGGGAGACATGAACTGTCTTAGAACATTTTTGCGTTTTCTTTGGAGTCCTAGTTACTGAACTAAAGAATTTGACTAATTGTTGTAAATCTATCAGACAAAGGGTTTTAACATCACAAACAGCTCACATTTCTCTGTGCAGTGTGATGCTGAGGGAATATGGAGGAATATGCTTGTGTAGTGTGTTGTATTGAAGGCTAGTTGTGCTCTTGTCTGCCGCTGGACCAGGAGCAGGTTCTACATGCTGTGCACTGCGTTCTGATGCTGGTGGACAAGGAGACAGGTCCACGGACAGAGAGACATCCAGGACTTCAGGTCAGAGCATCTGCCAGCACTGGGGTCTTCTTCAAGGAAAGGGTCACGATGGCCGCTGCATCTCTGTCCTGCTTGTAAACCTTTAGACACACTTCAGATTTCCACTGTGTCCTCAGTCGATTTTTGTATAGGAAAGAGAGTCTTCTTCTAAATGGGGTGGTAGAGAGAAAAGGATGCGATGCACATTAATCCATTCCTGTGTGAGTGAACAACAAAAACATTACTAAGAAAAACAAAGCGTCCACTACACACTTTTTTCATATTTAAGTGATGTATATTTACTTTACACATATAGAATAAATAGTACCTTTTGCTGTTAAAGCAAATGAATTTGATTGTCATGATCAGGCCTTTAAGGACTAGGGACTCCTCTAGTAGATAAGAGTCTTTATGTCTCTGACCTTTCAGGTAGAAGTGATGACATCACTGAAGGCTTTGCACAAGATTGTGGAAGGAAGCCAGCTGACGTCAGACTTGGAGGGCACGTTCCCCTACAGCCACAGTGACTGGCTAAAGCTTTATCAGGTCTGATTGACATCCATTGCCAGCTTCCTGACCCAGGTCACTTCCTGAAGAGTGTGTGTGCTGTGGTTACCTGCAGCCCGCTGTCTCAGTCTCAGAGTCATTTCAAACTTTGATTAAAGTCCTTGGTAGATCAAATGTTGTTTTTGCCCAGAAGTGGGGACATATCCATGGTGCATATTAGCAGGTATACTGTGCAAGATAGGTTTCTTTTCTGAGGATGTGTTTACTCCTTGCTAAATCATTTTGGGATGCAATACTTTTTTGCACTACGTCTTCACAAAATTGCACTTTTTTCTTTTAAATGTAAACACAGTAAGTCAGTCAGTGTTAATTGAAAACAACCTTTTGAATATACAAATACCCTAACATGATGTTAGGAAATGGACACCCTCTCCAGTTTTACAATTTAGTAAAATGAGAACATGCTCTCAGATATTAATGTACATCTCTGAAGTACTGTATGTTATGGAAGGATATTATCTGGTGAGGAACAGCAAAGAAGAATTAACAGTTCTGTACACTACATCTGCTTACTGTAGTTCATGGTGTTTTAAAACCTGTACTGTAAGTGATTAAATGTTTGGCTTTATTGTTGTACATTATCACTGACGAAAAACCTTTAGCCTTCGTGGATTTTCGGTGTCCTATAAGATATACAGGTCTATCCTCTCCAGATGCAGGAAATAGTAACACGGATGTAATGGATTTCCTTCATTTAATTGCTAAAATATTGTAGGAAGTATCAGAAATCATTTGACATTCTTGATTCTTATCTGTTTGGTGGTGGTGGGGGGGGGGGGTTTGAGAGTAAGAGGAATGAATTTGTATCAATTTGGAACAGAAATAAATCTGTCCAATTCAGACACAAAACAATTTGAGATCAGCTGAGAACTAATACACTCAGGACCTGGACCCAACTTCTGAGCCAGTTCTTACAGGACCTGCTTCTCTTACAGAAACTTGGTCCTTTTATGGACGACTTGCAAGAAGCCTCCAGCTTGCTCCAGAAAGCCATCAGCAAATTTGACGGCAACAAAAAGATTGACACTGTTCAGGTAATGACCCTCCGGCAATAACTTGTGAGAAACCTGCAAGCATACAGCCTCGTTGGGTGGACAGCAGAATAGTCGGCTCCGCTGAGCGTCTGGTGTGTTGTTCCCCGTGGCAGGAAGTCCAGCAGGGGATTCAGGGCCAGAAGACCATGATGAAGGAGGTGCTGGAGGATACCCGCTTGGTGGCCCTGCAGAGGGAAGGTGGGGCCATGCTAGCTAGACTGAGGAAGGAGGAGGCCCGATTTGCCTGCTCTGAGGATTACAGGTATCTCCTCTGCACTTCTTATCTACATCATAATAAATCTTAGAAATTACTCTTATTCTGAAGTGGTACCCTGGGGTACCTGGCACTCACAGTAAGTCGTTGTGTTGAAATGTTACACAGCAGTTACACTGCTTGAAAGCTCTTAGGCCCGTGCTTCTTGAACTTAGTATTTGTGTTTCCTTTTGTTGTTGTCCCCTTGTTTGTTTTTGTTTTCTTTGTTCTGAGTCATTTGAGATATGTAGATGACTAATAAAAGGATCCTGACCTGCTTCCTCCACAATAAAAAAGAAACTGAAAAAATGCAGAAATAGATTGAACAGGTACTGTAACAAGGTACAACTTCAGTTTTCAATCAATATTTTCTAAGGCTCTATAGTCTCTTTCAATCTGGAGCTGTCTCAAGGGACTTTACATAATTCATGCATTAAAAAAGAGGTACAGTTGACAGAAAAAAAATCACATATAAATGTGTAATTAAAATAATGGGCACAAAGGGAATACAGATAGGTAATAAATGCTCCCACAGTAAAATTGGAAATTTTGGAACCCAGGACTGCCAAGTTAGTGGACTGCCTCCATTGTAACACCATCCTCCCAGTGGATTCATCCACAACATTCAATCCAGTCAGATTTTGGGAAAAAACAATCATTGTATGGTCTCCAGCTTGGGCACTGGGACCAGGAAGCACATAGAATCCATGTGCACGGCTCTTCTGGAGGCCACTGCAAGTTGCAGGAGTTTATTTCTACAGACATTTCTGCTTCACTGACTGACAACTGCTTCTGAAAGAAAGCTAGTGATCCAGCCTTGTTTGCTTTGCTGATGGATCAGAGCTGCGGTTTTTCAACTGGATTATAGCCCAGCAAATGCCTAGCAGAGATGTGCCTTTTCAAGAGTGAGGAAATCATAGATGGAGGCTGTTGTTGCAGCTTGGGGTTGTGGTTGTGTCATGTGCTCCAGGTCCTCCATTCTGCTGGTCAATATTGATTACTTAGACGAAGGAAATGCTTCATTCCTGTTGAGTGGAATACAGTAGCTGTGCTACTTTCTCATGGTGACTCTACTTCTGACATTCCTTTGTTACAGCTGTGCAAATGATTTTTATTTCATTTTATGCTCTTATGACATTCAGATCCTTTTAAAAATATGATCTCATCCCTGCTGGTACTCGCTGAGTTTGCTTGACTTCGGGTGCAGAGATAAATGTGTCATGAATCATGTACTTGAAAAATGGAAATCAGTGTGGCCACACTGGAAGTGACCAGTCTCTGGCATCTACAGAACTACAGATTTGTTTGTATTTTACTTCTGGGGTGGTAGATGTATGGGGTGGATATTTACTGTACCTTTCAGACAAATACTTTACCTTTTTATTAACTAGATATTAATCATATTCCAGAACTGACTAGATTTTTTCTGAGATGCTCCCTATGTCTCTGTTAGATCATTCTCAGCAGGTGTGTACTAACTGACTAAGCTCCTCTCTCATGTTTCAAACTCACTCAATTTCAAAAGAAGACAGTTCTGTAATAGCTCTGTAGACTAATATGTCTACCCTGTTCTGATACTCACAGCACTGCACCTTGTTCTATGATGATTATATTTGATGATGTATATCTTTTGTAATTATACAGTATATAACATGGGCAATGTCTCCCAATCCCTGTCTGCTAACTATAGATGATTAATAGATGCAGACTTGAACAGATTATCACATTTTCCTAATTCTCTTTAGCCTTGTGTCTCCATAATTAAATAATGAAAATGCTTCCCCCATTGATTTTTATTACTGTGATTCCTTTTTTCCACCCATTAGTTCATATGTAATGGGAAGCTACTGTACCTTCACCTACTTTATTTCCAGTCCCGAGTGAATTACTGTAGAAAGTGATGGCTCTCTAGGGCCAGTGAAGACAGTATTCCAATACAACGCTCATAGTGGCTGACCTCTCTCTTCAGGGATGCCATGAGCACTACCACCAACTTCTATAACCAGGTGGAGGAGCAAGTTCACACGCTTGTCATGAAGTCCAACGAGTCCCTGCAGCACCTTGACTTTCTGCTCAAACTCAGGGAACTGGAGGGCAGGTTTAAGAAGGTAAGAATGACAGTGCACTGTGACAGTTTCCTTAAATAATGCATTCCGTACAGCCTTGCATCCATTTCTATACGTGGATAGCATTGATAGTTAGCTAAACAAGTCAATGATTGAAAGATCTCTATAAGATGTTTGTGAATGTACGCTAGAGTAGACAGTCATAGTATTACACAAGATCAGAACAGTTCTGCTTTGAGCTCGTACTACATGCAGTATGGGAAAGATGTGTTCTTGGATTGGTGATGTCAAGATGGGAATGGAAAGGGAATTCCCACTTTGATGGGAATACTGATTTAGTATGATAAAATGCCAGTCCAAGTGTAACCAGTGGGAGACCCACACTGGCATACGAGTAATAAGGAAAGCAGACAGTAAGTGCTGTAAGTCCAAAGCAAAGGTGACATACTGTATTGTCAAAGCATTGCTCTTCCTATGGGTCTGAAGTGCTCTCTCGCCTGCAGATCAGGGACTGGTTTGATGCAGATGGGGAGAGAAGGCTGCTGGAGGCCGACTCAGTGGAGGACTCCCTGGAGAGGGTGGAGCAGACCCTACACAACTTCAACTCTTTCCTCGAGCAGGCCACTGTGAGTCTGAGATAGGCTTTCCTTTCAGGGACATTTCTACCAGTCAGTGCTGACATTGTTTAGTCAGGAATTCGTGTTATCATGTTTTCAATTACAGCACAACACCTCACAATGGAAATGATGGAAGCTCCTTACAAGGGCAACTCGGTGATCATCTGTGGTTCAAATTGTACCAGTTTTGGGCCCTGGTTATCAATATTAATGCTCATTGCATCATCTGAAGAGGTCACACTGAAACCCCAACCCTAGAGTTCTGCTCTTTTCCCACTCAATTTAGGAGCAGAAGAATCGGGCATTGGCTTTGGTTACAGAGGCTGGCAATATTGAGGCATCTTCTTACCCTGAGAAGGAGATCTTCCGCACAATGGTGTTCACCTTCAAATCCAGCCTGGCTGACTTTCTGTCTCGAGCAGAGCAGTGTCGCATTGAGCTGGAGATTATGGTCAATCTGTACCGCTTCTGTGAAAAGGTTGGTGAAGCACTACAGGGTTCCTCAGCCCTGCTGGACAGTAGGACTTTGATATGCGTATTTTAGACACTATACCATTGCGAGTTCATAAAGTTTGTTGAGGCTTCCTTCACGATGATGTACAGTATTGAGATGCTATGCAGCTTTGTCTCCCATGCACAAGAAGTGTTGTAATGTTCATAGAGCAGAGAGGAATTTTAGCTGTTCTGCCCCAAAATGTCATATTTTAAATGTTAGATTGATGCAACAAATACCTGTTGCCTTTCTGCTTGATATGCATTAACTGATAACTATCACGTAATGTAGAGAACAGTACTGTAGATAAGAGTATAATAATACTTATTGGCCTAGTAACAAATTGACCTAGTGATCTCATCCTGTCATCTTATAAAATATCTGCCAGCATCAGCTATAGTACATCAGGCTGGCTACCAAGTTCCAGAAGCTCAACTCCCTTTATGGAAGAAAGTACTTCCTATTTTCAGTTGTGCAATCTCTTAATCTTCATTTATGTCTATTTGTTTATTTTGTACTGCCAAAATAGCCCATTGGGTTAATTTAGTTAATATCCATTAGGATTTTGAATATATATATCATGTCTGCTTCTTATCTCTACTGTTTGAGACTGAAGAGATTAAGTGTTCTTAATCTTAACTTACCAGCGTGTTACATTCCTTTTGTATCCTTTCAAAGTATTTCCTTTTAAAGTAATTAATAGAATCACTCTGAACATGTTTATCTGGGCAGAAATATTTTAGTTACCCTGGTGACTTACCTGCAAAAAATAACTCATGGCTACTCAGAATAATCAAATTGTTTGACAGGCATATATTTTTCTCCTTTCAGGCTACTGAGCTTGCCAAGGGCTGCAGACAGTATCTGGAGCAGGCTGGGCCTGGCTCTTGTGTAGCTAAAGAACACTTAAGTACTCTTGAAAAGTACAAGGAGAAATTCACAACCTTTTCTGCCGCACAGTTCCAGGAGGTGAAGGCTCAGGCCTGCACCCTCAAGGGCTCCAGGGGGATGAGGGTGTGGAACGTTGCCTGGCTGAAGTGCCAGGAAGTCAGGCAGCAGTTGGAGGAGAGGCTGCAGGAATCTGAGAAGGCCCAGAGGCCTGCAGTGGTTGTATCAGGACCCAGGAGACTGGTTGCAGAGGAGACTGCCTTCCTGCTGCCTTCCCCTAGTGAAGGCCCTGCACGTGGAAACCACACACCAGCAAGGACTACAGCAGAATTGCCTGGCAGCAGGGATTACCAAGCCAAGGGAAATGACTTTGCCACGGTAATGTGTTTTAATTTAAATTTCAAACCAGACAGCAAATCATGCAAGGGCCTGAAAGCTGCACCGGCTTCCAAAACTGAGGCCTCTGTGCCCCAGTTCGTAGAAGACAAGGAAGAAAACTCACAGGAGTTTCTCAGCACTCAGGAAAAGAGCCCAGACTTTCCACGTGGTGACTCCTCCAGCCATGAGCAATTATCCAGACAGCAGCAGGCCCTGGGCAGGTCCCTGAGCGAAGGCTCCGGCGTGTGCTCCTCGCCCTCAGAGCCGCTCGTCTCACCGACCGCAAGATCTTGCAGTCAGCCCTCCCGCAAGATCCTGCAGGCTGCCTGGGAGTTTCAGATGTCGCGGCACGGCAGTTTCTGCTCAGAGGAGTCCTACTGTTTGTCCTCACAGGACAGCGATAACCTGGGAACTGGACTCGAGGCTCCAGCCTCCGGTCCTGGGGGACACAGGGCTCAGGGAGGAACACCAGTGCCCACTGCAAACTCTGAGGAGAATGGCAGCAATGTTTTGTAAGTTCCATACTTATTACATATTAACATTTTCCATCAGAAACATATGAAGAACATCTGGCGTTTCTGTTAAAATTCACATTTCTTCTTGTCTCTTCTTCTTTCCAAGCTTGCCACAAAACCACAGAGGTATTATTGTCTTTTTCACTAAGCACACAGATAAAATTAATCTGAAACCAACCTTAGGCAATTCATTTAACAAGTAATTAGACATCAGCAGTGAATGTCTAATTACAAAGCATGTACAAAGTACTTTCTTTTCTGAAATGCTTGGACCAGTTTGAAAAGCAGTGCAGCATTTTCTGTTTTGTGCAAATATTCAGATATTTTATTGTGCTGAAGATGAAGGGTCTGGCCATGTGGATGGCTAGAGTAGCTGCTTTGATTTGGGCGACACCTGGGTCCACAAAGCCTGGCCTTGTTAACACTGGCGTTTCCTGTCCATTTGGGCCTGTCGGCAGGAAGTTGCAGCGAATCGTGGAAGAACTCCTCTTGACAGAGCGGGAGTATGTGCGCTCCCTGAGCTACATCATCACTCACTACTTCCCCCAGCTGGAGCGGCCGGATGTGCCCCAGGACCTGCGGGGACAGCGAGGGAGAATCTTTGGCAACCTGGAAAAGCTGCATGACTTCCACAGGCACTTCTTCCTCAAGGAGCTGGAAGGCTGCCTCAGGGAGCCGCTGAGAGTGGCTCGCTGCTTCCTTAGACATGTGAGTCCGGCCAGTGCCTTCTGTGTGAAAGACAAGCCTTCCCTCAGCAGCTCAGGTGATGTCAGGGAGAATGTGGTTGTTTGCCACAATAATACAATGTGGGCGGCAGTGTGACACAGCGCTGGGACCAGTTCCTCCGAGTGCACTGGTTTCCTCTCACAATCCAAAAACATATTGGTAGGTTAATTGGTTTCTGTAAATTGTCCCTGGTGTGAGAGTGTGTTTGTGTCTATGTGTGCCATGTGATTGGCAGTTTGGAAACTCTCAATGCCATGTGCGCTTGATCACAGATTTCTTCCTTAAGAAAAAAGTGGGTCATAGTTGAAATTCAAAATAAACAAATTACTGCTGGATGTGTCCTGCCTTGAGACATTTTATAAGAACAGTTTCACCGTGTGGCCATTTTTGAGAGGAAACCAATTTGTAGAGGTAGTATCCAGGTGTGAGTGAAAAGAAAAGCCAGATAGCTGCAAGTATCCCCATTTGTCTTACCAGCATAAAACTGCACGAGACATATAGAAAGACAGCCTTTTTAACACCTTAACAGTTATTAAGATTGTGGTTACTTTTAGCCGTACACTAAAATATTGGATTTCTGCCACTTTTCATTCACTAACTCTGGGTCTTGTGCCATTTTTCCATACAGCGGGAGAGCTTTGGGCTTTATGCTCTCTACAGTAAGAACAAACCCCAATCTGACTCTCTGATCATTCACCATGGTCATGCCTTCTTCAAGGTACGAAATCCCCTTCTGAGTCACTAATGCCTGTGCCAGCCAAGAATGTACTGTACAGTATGTGACATAATCTGTTTTTTGGAATATTACTCAAGACTGTTATTGGCCCATTCATGCCTGATGTATTGTTTGCAACACTGAGGTGACTTAAAAGACTGAATCTGTAATAACCACAGGTAAAGGGTTTGAAAAAGGTTTCTATTATTCTGCTTGGGAGCGTTTTTATTCTACAGTAAATGTTTTCACTATAGTACTGTACATGTGCGTAGTGATTTCATGGATTTTTTTTATCACATCTTGCTGTGATTTTGCCATTTTGCTCTTTTGCTGTTTACTCTGAAACTGCTATGTTGTAGAAAAGTTGTACTTTTTGTTCTAATATGTTGTACAAAAGAAACGTTGCCCAGAGGCAAGTTCTCCTTCACTAAGGATCTCATCCAGGTGTTTACAGAAGGATTCCAGAGAATCTGATTCAACTACAGGGCTGAGCAGCTTGTCCAGACTCTTGGAAAGACATGCCTCTTGTTTCCCGTCTTTAATGTGCGTTTCCTTGTTTTCCACTGGCATTCTCACATGATGTTTCCTCCCGGAGAGCAGCAGAAACAGCTGGAGCTGGGGGACAAGATGGACCTGTGGTCGTACCTGCTGAAGCCAGTTCAGAGGATCAGCAAGTACAACCTGCTTCTGCAGGACATGGAGAAAGAATGCGGGCCCCAGCAGGGCCGGGAGCGGTCCGAGATCCAGGCAGCCCTGGAGGTCATCCGTTTCCAGTTACGCCATGGCAATGACCTGCTCGCCATGGACGACATCCAGGACTGTGATGTAAGAGCCACAGGACAGTCAGCTTGTGGAAGGGAATGCATACATGTTACATGTTACATGTCTTCACAATTAGGAGGAAAACCTCATAGTGCCACAAATTAGGTGTAGCAGTGGTGTAACGATCGGTTCTTTCCGGGCCCTATGCGGATGACACGATCCGGAATCGTGAGGATACAATAGGGAAAAATAGTCATGCAGGAGAAGGATCTGGAGACGGGGGGCGTGTCCGAGGAGTGCAGGTGTCCAGGGGGAGTGAATTCAAGGCGAACAATCCAAGAGTATATCCAAAAGGGAAATCCAATACGGGAGGCAGAGTCCAAGACCAGGGGATCCATCCAAAGGAACTAAAAACACGAACCGGGTCGTAACCGGTGGGGCAGGGAATCAGGAACAGGAAACTAAAACCATGACAGAGCCAGACGCGGCAGGACTGCAGGCTCTCACGAAACGGGATTCAATGAGAAGCCTCGGGCAAACGCCTGCGTCTGACTTTAAAGGTGGAACTAAAGAGGGGCTGGGCAAAGGAACAGGTGTAAACAATGGGGGAAAATGAGGAAGGGCTGGAGCGCCCTTGAGAGGGAGAGTAGCGATCGTGACAAGTGGCACTGTGGCTAAGGGTCTGTGCCTGAGGCTGGAAGGTTGCCGGTTTGATTTCTGCGGCTGGAAGAGGAATCCTACTCCGTTGGACCCCTGAGCAAGGCTCTTAATCCCAGCTGCTCCAGGGGCGCCGAATAAATGGCTGACCCTGCGCTCTGACCCCAGGCTTCTCTCACTGTCTGTGTGTCTCATGGAGAGCAAGCTGGGGTACGTGAAAAACACAAATTCCTAATGCAAGAAATTGTATATGGCCAATAAAATGATATTAAATGGATAAAACTATAAGATAATATACACAACACAACAGTGCACTCGGCTCTGGGGTGTGAAAGGGAGCTGCCTCTGTCTGTGAACTTGAGTTTCTCCCACTGTGGGAGAGTTAATAAATGTTCTCCAGTTTGACTCTAAATGTTTTTATTTTCCCCCAGAATCTAGGACAGTGTAAAAAAGAAACCCACTTTATACTTAAAATGTATCTTAAACGTAGCACTAGAATATCATTCTATGAAGAGCTTACATTGTGGCAAATGTTCTGTTGACATTACCACCATTGACCAACCACAAACAACCACAGACCTGCTTTTTCATTTTTCCATATCAGCAGTAGCGTCTGGTCTTTCATCTCTTTTCCTGGGTAGCAGAAAGTCACATTTTGCCCAGAGTGAAAGCTGGGGAGATTGACCTTTATGAGCTCCCAGCCGGCAAAGCCCGAAGAAGAGAATGAAGTGACTGTTGCCACAGTCTGTACTGTTCCAGATATTATTCTCAGGGCCGTTCAAACACCCCCTTCTCCCTGCGCAGGTGAACCTGAAGGAGCAGGGGCAGCTGATCCGGCAGAATGAGTTCCTGGTGTCGTTCAGGAAGAAGAAATGTTTCCGACACGTCTTCCTCTTCCAGGACCTCATCCTCTTCAGCAAGACCAAGAAGACAGAAGTGGGGAATGACATGTATCTTTACAAGCAATCATTTAAGGTACAGTGTCATCGTCCATCCATACATTTTCTAACTGCTTCTCCACTACAGGGTCACAAGGGACCCTATCCCAGCAAGCAATGAATGCAAGGTGGGACACACCCTGGATGAGACATCAGTCTGTTGCAGACAGTGTCACCAGTCAGGCAAAATGGAAAGGAACAGAACTGGATATTACTTGACTCCCCTCAGTCTTAATACCCAGTTTCTTCTCTTCAGTCCGACATTGTAAAAATCCCTGTTTTATGTTATAATGACCAGCCTCCTCATGTTGCTGCAAGGCTTCGTGTTGAATTATAATATTTTTTAAATGTCTAAGGTGCATTTTTCTCCTTAGTGTATTTGTTTCTTAGCAAATTTGCTTAATTAGGTATTTTAATTTTTAGTCATTTATTACAATTACTTCCAATTTAATATAAGATAACGTTTTGTCATTGACTATTGCTTGATATACTGGAATCAACTATATTTGAAGAATTTTGTGCAAGATGTCTTTGAGTGAAATTCCAAGAGGCATGCTGATGTCAACCAAGACTGCATAAACCGTGTTCTTTCATCCAGACCTCGGACATCGGAATGACACGTAATTCTGGGGACAGCGGCCTCTGCTTTGAGATCTGGTTCCGACGGCGGAAGTCCCAGGACACTTATGTCCTGCAGGCTGAGAGTCCGGAGGTGAAGGAGGCCTGGACCACTGACCTGGAGAGGATCCTGTGGGATCAAGCAGTGCGCAACAGAGGTCAGTGCTCTGCCTCTTGATCACACTCTGGGTAACTTTTGGCAGCCATCAGGAGAGATGGGGACTCTTCAAGCTCCTACTGGCACGAGCAGCAGCACATTTTCATTCCCGCTGAAGCCCCCTTATTAATTAACCTGTAATTTGTTCAGTTTTTAGAGTAAATTATTTTTAGAACGTTTAGAAGGGATTAGATGTTCAAGTTACAGTTACTGTTGGACACAGAAGTATGGGGCCAGAAAGGATGAGTTTTGGAAGCTGTCCTGGAAGGTTGAAATTTGACCAGTTTATCACACAGTGGTGTTAATGAGAGTATTGTGAGACCTGATTCTCAGCCACATCCCTAACCCACTCTGACTGGTGACACACAACTGGCTCAGCACCACCAGAATCCCTCCTCCACCCAACACCGACCCTCCTGTATGTGACTGTGAGCCGAGATGCAAAGACTCAATCAACGACTACAAAGCATGGACATACAGAAAAATATAAATGTTAGAATAAAGAAAAAAATTTATACTGCATCCTCCTCATGCTCAAGGTTGACATTCATTGTTTGCAAGTAGGAATTGATCAAATAGAACCAAACCATTGAAAATTACCCTTCTTCCTAATGAATGGCAAACACCTTAATGATGTGTGAATTTCTTTTCCACTTTTGAAACGTTAAAAAATCATAGAGTTAATGATTTAAGGTCTATGTGTACATATAGTAGCTGTACTCAGTATATCCTTTACACTTCTTGAAGTCAAAAGATTCTGGCTCAGTATTGAAAGGCCTTTATGCTGATGTAGGAATTCAGTGTGAAGTGTGTAGTTTGAACCACTCCAGTGTGGGCAAAGGCTCTACACTTCCTGCAGTGTCAGCAGTGACGAGCAGTAAAAGAGGAAACAGGCCTGTGTGTGACCTTGGTGATGTCATAGTTGTGACCCGGCTATGGACAGTGCCTTGCAAAAATATTCAGACCCTTGCACAATTTTCACATTTTGTTGCTTTAAAGCTTGTAGTCATCACAGTTTAAAGTAGCAATTAATATTTGTCATATACACAGCCTGCTCTAAACAAAGTAAAATAAAAAAACACAATTGTGTAGTAACTGCATGAAGTAATAGTGGATTACATAATTTCAGAACTTGCCTCAGAAGTTGTAAAAAGGCACAGTCCAAGAGGTCAGACACACTGAATATTCTTTTGAGCACACTGAAATTGATCATTAAGGGGTGAAAGGTATTTCATACTGGTGAAACACTAGATACTGCCTAGATGTCCCTTTCATTTTAGGTTTTGGTGACACAGTAACTTATCTTACCTGTTTCAATTTCAGCATTCAAGTTTTGAATAAAATAGTCGTTTAAAATAGTGTATTCATTGTTTCGTAATGTTACAAAATGGGACATCATATCATCAAAATGGGTCTGAATAATTTTGCACGTTATGCTATTGTTTTATGATATTCTTTAGCTTTCTAAATAGTCTGCAGATCAGATCTACATACTGTATGTGTTAAGTTAAAGTCAATCCAACACAGAATACAGACAGCAGATCAAAATAACAAAACATACTGTTTAAGAAAAGTTGACCCAAGTGAATATACAGTATGTTCTACTACTGTACGGTCCCTGTGCCAATATTCTCTCCCTGTGTGACATCCAGAGATCCGAATGCAGGAGAGGGTGTTCATGGGAATTGGAAGCAAGCCCTTCATGGACATCAAACCCAGTGCAGCCGCAATCTGTGACAGAGCGGTCAACTGCGTCTACTCTGGAAGAGGTAATTAATTGTTCATCAGTGTTCCCACAGAACCCAGTGACAACCTCTATTGCTGCCAGTATTCTCTATGGCCAGCAGCCATATCACCCTGCAGCTCACAAGTGGCAGCCCACTGGAGCATAGCAGGCGTGAGCCTGACCAGTACCTAGATGGGGGACCTTCTGGGAAAAAACTAAGGGTGTTCACCCTGCAGTCTGTGTGGGTCCTGATGGCCCTGTACTGTAGGAGGACACTGTACTGTAAAAAGGCACCATCCTTCGGATGAGACATTAAACAGAGGTCCTGACTCTCTGGGGTCATTAAAAATCCCAGGGTGTTTCTTGATTGAGTAGAAGTGTTACCCTGGCGTCCTGGCAAAATTTCTCATTGGCCTTAATCAATCATGGCCTCCTAATAATCCAAATCTATGAATTGGTTTCATCACTCTATTCTCCTCCCCACTGATTACTGGTGTGTACTGAGCGTATTGACGCACTATGGCTGCCGTTGCATCATCCAGGTGGGGCTGCACACTGGTGGTGGTGGAGGGGAGTCCCCATTACCTGTAACAGAGTGTCCAGAAAAGCATTATATAAGTGTCAGGAATAATTATTAAATTAATGTTGCCGTCTGAATGCACACTGCTTTTTAATAGGTGTTCTCCCCTTTACTAGAATCCAAGGCAATGTCTTCCATCACTGTCCCTGCAACACATGGAGGCCTGTTGTCGATGAGGCCTAACTCCATAGACTCAGGCAGCAGCACGTCATCTTCAGGCAGTCACTCGTCCTCTTCCTCCTCCGGGCGGGGATCCCTCCCTCCTCACCGCTACCTCCCTGGCCAGCAGCGGCGAGGGGAGATGGGCCAGGGCGCCTTCCTGGTGACAGGGGTTCTGGAAGAGGACGATCTGGACAATGAGACGGAGAACCTTCATTTACTCAGTGAGTCATGGCTGTGCTGTGAAGTATTTAACATACGCAAAACATTTTAGCAATTCAAAACAGCAGTTTTAGGTGGAGAATTTTCAATTTGTCTGCCTTTAATCTCCTTTCTTTTTATAAAATGGAGAATGAAAAATGCATCTGAACTACATACTACCAAAAAGAGCTCAATGGGCCTACCAGCTTCACATTTATAACTGTTCTTATATACTGTACAAACTATAAAACGTCTGTACTTTTTGAAATAGGTATTATGTCTTTTATATGCTTAATACAATGTATATGAAACCCTTCTGAATGGTAACAGCAAAATTGTTCCATGAGATTCACAAATTAAATCTCCTTAAAAGGCAAACACTAGTGTTTGTGGATCTAGAGAGTCCTGTTAATAAAATAACTATAGATCGAAGTCCCTCCGATTTCTGTCTTGCGGCCCTTTGTCTGTAGTGTACTAGAGACTGTTTCCTGTCTACTACTGTCTAGTGGTTCTTGTGTAATTGTTGTGGTTTCGATTTTTTCCTAGTGGACAGCTCTGAGTCATCTGGCGAGAGCATCAGTGGTTTCAGCAGCTCGGACCACAGCTGCCTGTCTGTGATTGGAGGAGAGCCGGACGACTCCTCCTCTTTCTCCTCCCTGTTTTCCAAGCCAAGCTCTGCCCATGAGTCTCTGCCTGAATTCCGCAGACGCACCTCTCCCGTTGTTTCCAGAAGTAGACCCTCTAGGACTCCTCCACCTCAGGCCAAGAGTATGGGCCACCCTGGAAAGGTGGGCTACTGCAGTACCACTGTGGACAGCTTGATAGAGGTTAGGCCCTGACGTTTCTCTGCGTATAGTCTGATTTTCACTGGAAAACATCTATCCATCCCACATTTAAGTATGTAGTAGGCAACATGTATTTGAAATGAAGCCATTCTGCCTTTTGGTTTTAGTACTTGTTTAGTATTTTATTAGTTAAAATGCCACTGTAGCCATCGTTGCTCTATTATGTTGTGCTCTGTGGGGGGGCATTAATGCGTGTCTCATGGCACGGACATGATCTTGTTTAATATGTTTAATATGTTTTCCTGCCCTAACAGAATCATGAAAAAATGGTCATTGGACGATCAACAGAGGTCTAACTTACCCTGGTGATGTGGGTGAGTGATCTAGGTTTACAGTATGTTAGGACTAATAGATCAAGAAAAAATGTATTGACACCTGTGATACTGTGGGGACACAGAGACCACAGAAACATACCAGTCTGATTCTCAAGTCCCAGCAGATGATGCATCTGGATGAAAGAGTAATGCACATAAACAATAACCAATCCAAAAACACATATATTCTAAAACAAACATATGGTATCCCCATCCAGTGTATGGCTTAGTGTTAAAACCCTGATCGTCGCCGTCACAGATCTCCACTTGTTTCAGGTTCAAATAGTAACAAGCACTGTGTCTTGAACCCTTATGTAATTATATCCAAAACAATGACAGCAGATTGTGATAACCCACTACATCACAGATCCTTGCGACACTTTGCCAATCAGTAATATTGACACAGTTAAAATAATCACACTTTAAGTGAGTTAATATTTTTAATGTGAGCATTTGAAATCCATCTTAACTAGGTATTGCAAATTGACCATTATATTTAATGCATTCTGGATTTGATTTAATTCCTGCGGGAAACAGACTGTGCTGCAAGCTGCAAGCTGAATTTATTATATTTCTACTGGCAAAATGAAACAGCGAGCAATTACTGTTGAGCACCTGCCATTTTCCACAGTGAAACATTGTTTTCAATGGACCAAGAAACGTTTTCATTTAGCCTTTTTAATTTTGATCAAATAAAAAAATATTCCAGTCCTCATTCCTACATTTATGTTTATATAAATATGCTTCATCAGTTATTGGAAGAACACAGAGCAGCAAAGGAATTAAAACCCTTTGAGAATCACACAACAGATTTTGTACTCAAGATGTAGGATAATGTTCATATGCATGCCAATAGAGATGTAAGTGAGTTTCTTGAATATTTTGCAGATGGATGGTTAATAGCTCTGCTGATCTGATCCGATGGGATAAGAGCTGAGCTAAGCCAAAGAAGAACAGGGAAGAGGCACTGGGAAAGGTGCACTGAGATGCTGGGAGCATTTCCAACTATTTGGACTTTAAAGGGAATATCAGAAGATGCACTGGATTTTCAAAGTCATATATCACATACAGTATGCTTTCTTTGATGCTGACTGAATCTTCCACGCAGAGCCTCTTTCTAAGCTGCTTGTGATCACTGGGCATTTTTCTGAACTGTTGGCCAATATGCCTGTCAGATTATAAAGTTAAACTGCCAATCACCACCTGTACAGACATCCATCTACTTAACTAAAGTGACTCGATGCTTCATCTAATCACATATCTGTTTGGGATTCATACAATCTTTGCTGCATCCGCCTATAACCAAGCACAAGAAAGCTTATAAATGAAAGGAACCCGTCTGTCTTTGTGGTAATTTGTGTAAGGTTTGTTTACTCATCATTGTAGAAACCCATTTATGCTAATCGGAGATAAGTAACATTCTATTAAAGTATAAAGAAATGGTACACAGATGCAAGGGTATTTTGCATACAATCTGCGCTTAGTGAACTAAAGACTTTGCGCTTGTAATACAGGGTTTCTAAATGATACATGACCTGTTATTACCTTCACTCTAAAAATATGACAGCTGTATTGCATACCATTTGATATAAAGCATTGAGATGTGATTTTAGCATCCATCCAAAACAATTTATAAACAAATAAATAATGTATCCAACACAGGGTCGTAGGGGAGCCAAAGCCTATCCAGGCAAACAACAGTCACAAGGTGGGATACCAGTCCACTACAGGGCACACAGAGCCTCTCACTCACGCCAAGATCATGTGTCACAGGTCCAGAATTGAATCCGGAGCCCCAACACTGTGAGGCAGCTATGCTAACCATTGATTCTGCAGTGTTGTTTCATATCATATTCTTTGCTTTTTGTAGCATCTTTGCTATAAAAGTATGAATTTGTCAATAATGATATAAAAAACAAATGTGTAATGTTCATACTGTATATATATTTGCAAAATTTCAAAATAATTCAAGCCACTCTTATGTCAAAACAAAACTGTTGAGACATGTTGCAAGAAATGTTACTTGGATTTTAAAATGTCAGGATTTACATTTCTGTTTAGTCAAGATGCTTTCTTTCACAAGGACCAGACTTTTGTGAGAGCTGATTTCCTCTTTTGTAAATTTAATCCGCTTGTGGAAAACTCATCACTGCAGCACTGTGTAAGTAAGAGCATGGGCTTTGTTTTTTAACAATCGTGGTTAGACTCTCAAGAGTCAAATTCCTAATACATCCTTTATGTGTGCTTTTATACAGCAGGAACAATCATAAAAATCCACACATTAAAATATGCAAAGGGGTTCTATGACTGAGAAGAAAAAACAATGAAATTTTCTAGTTACTCTTGTGATCGTGCTGTTTCCAGAATAACTGCTGAAGTTTTTGTGTTCAGTAGTCATTGTTACTTATATCCTTATAATTTATTGTTATTTTAGGAGTGGGAGTATTTGAGCAGTTTATGACATCATGAGTATAACTAAGGCTGTATTCTAATTTAGTAACATAATTGACCAATTAAAATGCCACTTGCTTTGTCAGTCATACTGTACCTTTCTTTTATATTAAAGGTTCTATCAAGGCCTCATTTGGGACCATGATAAATATATTTTTTATGAACATGTGGTTTATTGTGGATAAAAGAAGGTTTTCTTCCTGTTTTTTAAAAGCTTTTATCACTCCATGTTTCATGCTGTCATTAGATTCCTGTGATCGGGATTTCCCGAATTCAACCTGCAAGACAATTCCAGGGGTGAGCTGATCAGGGCAATCAGAATATCCTCAGTTCGCTGCCCAACAGTGACCCCTATGAACTACAGGGGATCTACTGTATAAGTCAGCAGGGGTCAATGAGAGTTTCTTAGCTCCCCTTATCTATGGTTCGCTAACTTTGTCGTGGACACTGCGAGACATGGTGCAATACTGAGGTACAGTATACAATATCACATTTTCACAAATAAACGTTCAGCTCTGAGGCTGAGCTTTTTTCCATTTCTACAACTGAACAGAGGTGTACTTTTGTACTTTTATCTACTATTCCTTTTAACATAAAATAAAGCTTAAGAGGTGTCCTTTGCACATATGCAGAGCAGTGTTTTTATTACTCCAATAAATGAGCCATTACTGGAAAGTCCAAAGCGTTCTCTGCAGCTAAATTTGTGTTTCATGTTACTTAATGCTTCAGGATTGTCTTTCCAGCATTCTTTTCATTGTGCAAACTCTATAGCAACAATAGCCAAGGAGCCATATGGTAACCATTCCCAAAGTGAAGATAATCAAAGTAACCGACATGCTTAAGGGATATGTCTGCCTACAGTTGAAGCTAAACCCAATGACACGTGTCTCACAGAACAAAAAGGGCCAAAAAAGGAAGCAAAGTACCTTGGTTGTCATGCAAAACGCTATGTAGTGTAAGAGGAAAATCTGTAAATTGTTGCTTTTAACAGGACACTAACTTTTAATACCAATATTACTTTTAGCCTAAAGTTGTAAATTTAAGTCCTAGTTATACTGATAGTTAAGTGATTGCAGACTGGCAGTAACACTACAGGAACTGTCTGTAGTTTGTTTTGGGCCTGTGTAGCATGGCTACAACGTGTCTACAGTGTGTTAATCTGAGCCACTAGCAGGAGGAAGAGAGACAGTGGATACAACTTTCTGTGAAATTCTGCTTCTGTCTTCTTAAAACTAGGGATTGTTTGCTGGGTGACAATAGAAGTGGGTACTGTATATTGGCAAAATTAGCAAATCTAATTCTCAAAAATGCCATTTGGCTGCTCATGGTGAAGTATTTTTTTCATACGAAGGGCATGAGAAGGTAGTTTGTAACTACAGTATGCCCATTCAAAGTGAATGCTTTGATATGTCGAACAGCTCTTTCCAATATGTCTGGGAGGGATGAAGAAGGCCTTTTGTACAGAATCAGAGGAGGCAGACATTCCTTGATAATTACAGAACTACTTTTGGTAAGCAGCTTTGTTTTGAGCCCCCTAAAAGCTGTTAACTAGTGCCTTCTACAGTCTTGAGCTGTATGAGTGTTCGAAATCAAAGATGAGGGTTTTAGGTCATATGAGCTTGGATTAAATCTAAACATTGATCTAGTCTCCATCCTCAATTGACAGACCCCTGAATATTGTAGCTTGGTGCTTCTGGCCAGAGTAAGCTCTTCCTTTGATTGTGATTGGCAGCAGTAGCCCTACCCAGAGGCCATTCAAACTTTTAATGGCCATCTTTCAGGCTCTTACTCTGCCCGGGCTGTGAGCATGATTTAGTGATGTTACCAGCACCGGATTGCTTGTGCTTGATTTCTGCTGTTTGGATGCCAGAGGTCTTCACCCTGAAATAGGGCGGCTGTTGCACCGTTTCGCAGTAAATGTTTTGCCTTTACACCTTCCTTGGGCTTTGCCTGACCTGATGTGCTTATGTACTGATTGAAAATGTTTTCTTGCTGCCTAGGTCTGCAGTGGCCCAGCACTGTAATATAATAAAAAAGTTTCAGTAGAGTCTGCATCAATTTGCTGTCCCTTATGTGGTAATGGGGAACAGTGGGCATCAGTGCTTAACATTTACACAGCCAGTGTAGTCTTCTTAAAAGTAACATGTACTGGGTTTCCTCGGTGGATGAAAAGATTAAAAGCTACCCTTTTAGATTAAAATTTAAGGTTTTAATTAATATTCAATCAACATTAATAAAGCATTTACAGATATACAGTACTATCCCTAGTTCAACCTAGTTTACAACTGAATGTCTATAAAGATTATATGCCAGCAGCCATATCGCCCTGCAACTCACAACTAGCTAATTAAGCAGGTTTGAGCCAGGCTTGTACTTGGATGGTGGACCTCCTGGGGTAAAATTAAGGTTGTTTGAACAGGTGTTAGTGGAGCCAGCAGGGAGCGCTCACCCTGTGGTCTGTGTGGGTCCTAATGCCCCAATATAGTGACAGGGACACTATACTGTAAAAAGGTGCCATTCTTTGGATGAGAAGTAAAACTGAGGTCCTGACTCTCTGTGGTCATTAGTTAGGGTTGTTACCCTGGTGTCCTGGCCAAATTTCCCATTGGCCTTAACCAATCATGGCCTCTTAATAATCCCCATCTCTGAACTGGCTTTATCACTCTTTTCTCCTCCCCACCGAGAGCTGGTGTGTGGGGAGAGTACTGGTGCACTATGGCTGCTGCCACATCATCCAGGTGGGGCTGCACATTGGTGGTGGTGAAGGGGAGACCCCATTACCTGTAAAGCGCTTTGAGTGGAGTGTCCAGAAAAGCGCTATATAAGTGTAAGCAATTATTATTATT